TGACGATTGCTGGATCGCTCTTCCCCACTTGCGACCAGCTAATGTTCGACCCAGAGCCACGACTGCAGTCTTACAAAGTACCTATGTCGACGATATCATTCAGACATCTGCTTTATCTTGTCATTACAGAAATGAAGGCAGTAACATCTTACTCGACAGCGCCTGTTCTGACCATATGGTCTCTGATCGTTCACTCTTTGTCAATTATGTCAACAACCATTCTGAAGTCGCAATCGCTGATGGAGGAGTGATTCATATTGAAGGCAAAGGCGACATCAACCTCAAGTCGTGTAACGAAACTATAACCTTGTCTGCTTTTCACGTTCCCAAATTAGGGAGTCCTTTGATCAGCATGGGCTGTTTGCTCAACGACGGTTATGTTTTCACTCATGACAAGGGTATTGTTATGATGACGAAGGATGGTCAAGGAAGTTTTCGAGGACAAGTTCGAAATAAGGTCATCGAATTAGATGCAACTTTAGGCACGTCGCAATCTTTCGTATGTTTCAAGACAACCATCTCTGACTACACTGTCTTACATAGAAGCTCCGGACACACCAATCCTCGACGACTGAACAAAATGTATGGAGTTCAGATGCCGGACAATTGGGTCTGTGAGGAATGTATGCTCTCTAAAGGTCATCACCTACCATATTCTGGTTCACTTCCAAAGACCAATTTTCCCTTAGAATCTGTTCATAGTGATTTAAGCGGGAAGATTTCAGTTGTATCAGAAGGTGGTGGTCGCTATTATTTTAAACTTACTGATTCTTTTACAAACTATAAATATGTGTACATTATGCAATCAAAAGCGGAAACTTTCGCATGTTTTATGAAGTTCAAATCAGAAGTTGAGAATCAGCATAATCGAAAAATTGTGAGCTTGGTTAATGACCAAGGCGGAGAGTATATGTCAAATGAATTCCGTCAGATGCTAGAAGAAAATGGAACTGTTTCTTATCTAAGTGCGCCATATACACCTCAGCAAAACTCAGTAGCAGAACGTGGAAATCGAACCACCACTGAGAAAGCACGGACACTTCTTCAACAGTCAAAATTGCCTTATTCCTTTTGGGGTGAAGCTGTGAGTACGGCGGTGTTCTTGGAGAATGTCACACCTATGGAGAAAATAGGCGGTCAAACTCCTTATGAACTTTGGTTTGGAAGAAAGTTTGATGTATCGAGATTGAAATCATTTGGATGTCAAGCTTATGTGTTAACTCCGAAGCAGTTTCGAAAGAAGTTTGATAACACGTCTGTTAAAGGCATCTTTTCAGGATATCAACTCGGAATGAAAAATTATCGAGTCAGACTTAACTCTGGAAAAATTGTGCTTTCACATGACGTAACCTTCGATGAAAACTCTTTTCCGGGAATTGGAAGATCAGAGAGTGATATCAATTTTGAAGAAGAAATGGACTCTAATCTTTCTGTCTCTACGCCTATTGTTCCATCAAACATTTCAAATGAAGCATCTTCAAGTACAACAGAGAAAGAAGTCAATGTTTTACCTTTAACATCAACAGACGAAAGGAATGAGCTGTCACATGAGTCGTCATTAATTCAATCTTCTTCTGAATCAATCATCACGCCCAATCCTGAAGCGTCAGGCAACCAACTAGTTCTTTTTCAAGAAACACCAATGCAAATCGAACACCCGGTACCAGACTTACCAGATCCTCCAATTCCATTGCCCATTGTTCCAGAAAAGCGTACGTGGGAATGGCAACCAGCGTCAATACCTGCGCCGAATGACATATCAAGCGTCATTGATCCAGCAAACATCTTACCGCCGGATTCTAAACGACATCGATCACATGAAGCACGTCGATTGAAACGTATTGATGAACGACGGTTGAAACAAAGCATGAATTATCTAGCAAATCACCAGAATCGACCAACAGTGTCAGCAAGAGTCGCTCAGGTAGAAATTGATCCGAAAACTTATCTTCAAGCACTTAAGTCGGATAATTCATTTGACTGGAGAAAGGCTATTGATAATGAATTGGAGAATATGGACAGAAGGAAAGTTTGGGATGTATGTGAGTTACCGGAAGGAAAGAATGCAATTGGAACAACTTGGGTGTTTAAAAAGAAGATGGGGGGAGATGGAGAACTAATTAAATTCAAGGCTAGATTATGTGCACAAGGATTTTCACAAGAATATGGTGAGGATTATAATGAAACATTTGCACCTACAGGAAGATTGGCGACCTTACGTACATTAAACACTATGGCTGCTGTACATGATCTAGAAGTTCATCAAATGGATGCAGTAGCTGCATTTCTAAATGGATCACCTCAAGAAGTCATTTATTTACGAATTCCTAAAGGCTTGAACATTTCGAATGCATCATTAACATCAGTTTTGAAATTAAATCAAGCGTTATATGGCTTAAAACAAGCGCCAAAGGTGTGGTATGATTGTCTCAAAGCCTTTTTCAAAAGCATTTCTTTACTTCCTTCATCATCAGATCCAAGCTTGTTCATTTCTTCAGATCCTGGATGGAAATGTTTTGTTCACGTACATGTAGATGATATGACGATTGCGAGTGATGACTTTGGAAGGTTTAGAAGGTTGATAAGTGAAAGGTTTCAGATGGATGAGGATGTAGACTACAAGTACATTTTAGGTATGAAGGTGACGAGAGACAGATTAAATAAAACAATTACATTATCGCAAGGACAGTATATTACAAATCTTTTAGAGGAATATGGAATGGTGGAAAGTAAAGCGGTAGGATGTCCTATGATACCTAATACATATTTAATTCCTGG